ATGAGACTATTTTGGAGTGGTTTCGGGACTTGACTTTTAGCCACTTTTTAAAGTTTTGTAGTAAAAGTTAAAAGTTAATTTTTTGGTATTTAAAGACATTTGGAAAGTTGGTTTGCAGTCACTGGTGAAATTACAATTCTACCCAACATGGGTCAAAATATGTTACATGAGTGAAGTTATAAATATTTTAAATTTAATGGGAAAAGTTTGGTCATTTTATTATGATTTGACATCATAAACAAATATTAATAAAAAAATCAAAAGCAACTTTTTACCAACTTCCCCAATCATTTGTCTAAAAGGCCAAAAGTTTGGTTAAAAGCTAAAAAATTACTTTTTACCATCTTCTCAAAATAGGCCTTTAGCCTAAGGCTAAAATAATTAAAAAAAACCTTGCCACATCTCAAACGAAGCCATTATTTGATAAAATATAAGCCTTGTTTAAGAAGTTGGCTATTTTAATAAGTTACTTTTAGCTTTTGATTATTTTAATAAGTTAAAATTTTTGTATTTAGAAAGATGATTAATTTTTTTTATAATTGGATGTGATGTTTGTGAGAGAAAAAATAAAATAATTATGATTTTAATGTAATATTTTATCTTATTAACTATTTTAGTTAATTTTATCTTCTTTTATGAATTTTAGTTCTTTTTTTTTCTTTTTTTTTTTATAAAAAAACCTCTTGCTAAATCGGGCCATAGATAGATATACAACAATGATTCATTTTACTAATTTGAAAATCCTAAATTCTTAAAAAAAAAAAAACCTAAAACCAAAACATCACCTCATGAATGAAACCACTCTCTAAAGCTGTTTTAAAGTGCATAATTTAGAGTTCCCAAATAATTTTTTTTTGATAGATATCAGTTGGAAAATTGCCATGACAGTGCGCATGGAAGTCGGCCCTCCTATTGCCAATTTGCCAAACCTCAACTCACGGCTTCTAGAGGAGTCCCACTTCAGCAAATTGCTAAGCCCCACGCGCAGTTAAACATGTCACCCCTTCACGCGCACCCAATGAACCAACCAAACCTAACCCATCTTTGTCTGTTTGTGCAAATACTTTCACTTGTGGGCATTCATCCACTTTGGTCATTCAACTTCCCCCAGTCATTTCCATTTATTGATATGCCAAATCAAAATGTCCCCCACCCACCAAAAACAAAACTACAAATGTTATGCATAATTCATATCCACAATTCTCATTCATTAAACATAATTATTAACATTAACTTCTCTATTTGCTATTCATAATTCTTAAAAGTATAAAGACATAGAAATGTCAACGGGTAAAGGACAGCAGTGAATAGATTCACAGTAAATAATATTTGATACAAATTAAAACCTTCGAATCCTTTCACATTGAATTTTAGTCAAATTTAAACCTAAATTTTGTTAATTTATTACAAAATATTGAGATATATGATTAAAAATATGTTGGGCGATATATTGGAAATTGATAAAAACTTTTGCTTTTATTTTCTTTTTCATATTATACTTTATACAATGTTATGTTCATATTACAAATTGCTAAGACGAAACACTCCATCTGAAATATGCGAAAAAAGTCTAATTGCGCATATATATATATATATATATATATATATGTTGAAATATGAGTTACCTTTTAAATGAATTTAAGTGTCGTTTGGCAAACTTAGTTTTTTGATTTTTTTAACCTGGGAGTTTTTTATTCGTTTGGTTTTCTTATTTAGCTTTTTTAACTTTTTTGCATTGGAATGACAAAATTGCCCTTCACTTGGAAATGATGTTTTTTTGACTTTTTGTTTGTATGTGGATTAATTTGGCAATTTTGCATCAAAAGTCAAGTGTTTTATCATTTTGTAATTTTGTGACTTTTTTTTTATCCTTATGTGCTTATTTAGTCCCCATATGTTTACCAAACCAAGGCTTAGTAGGGAGATTTATTAGAAGATTCTTTTTCAAATATTTATATTTCAATTAGTTCATAACACATACTTATATTTCAATAAATACTATTATTTAGACATTTGATTCATCATATCATAATTTTCATATTTAAAGTATTTTATAAACAATTTAATTCTTACAAATATTTTGACCGGCTAACAACTTGGTAATGTAAATATTTATATTTTACAATGTGAATATTCACATTGACGGTGTGAACATTATGAATATTATTATTAAGGGTATTTTGATAACTATGTACTTATTGAAATAAAAAAAAAAAAATTAAGTTAAATATAAGTAGGTAAAGAGATTTATAAATAAATGTCCCAATTTGATATCATTTAAAATATATTTAATATTTGAGAAAATATTTTTATGTGATTATTTGATCGATTAATTGTGCACGCTCTTTCAACGCGTGAGTAATGCATTTCAGAATAGTTGGTCGACGCACTAATCTTCCCCTTAGACATTTCGATTTCGTTCATACATGATAGGTATATCATTCACACCTTTTTTACAAAACCTTACTTTCTAAGAAACCAAACAAACAAGACGATCAAGGTTCATGACCCGAGTAAATTAAAATACAACACTTGGAATCTCTATTAAAATATATGTAATCTCGCCCTCTTTTCTCTCCTTCCTGGTAACAAAAACAAATACCATCAGACAAACACTCCTTTTCTCCTTTTATATTTATATAACAATCACACTTCTACTTGCCCGGAATTCCGTGGACTTCAATCAACAGTTATGGAGTTTTTCACCAAAGTTAAAGCAGTAAAACTCCGAAGCCACCTCGACAAGTACCTAGCGGCCGACGACGACAAAGAAACAGTGCGACAGAGCCGCCAGGGCTCGGCCCGAAAATCCCGGTGGCTGGTTGAACCCGTCGACGGAAACCCACAACTCATACGGCTCAAAGGCATACACGGCAGCTACCTGGCCGCCTCCGCCGCCCCTTTCCTCCTGGGCATGACCGGAAACAAGGTCGTTCAGGCCAAACGCGATGACTCGTCGGAGACGACGACGGAGTGGCAGCCGATCAGAGATGGGTTTCAGGTGAAGCTGAAGGCGGCGGCGGGAGGGACTTATTTGAGGGCCAACGGCGGAACGCCGCCGTGGAGGAACACCGTCACGCATGATATTCCGTTAGCCGGTTCGACGCATAATTGGGTTTTGTGGGAGGCGGAGGCTGTGGAGATACCGGAGAATGAGGCGTTGAATGATTATTTGTCGTTGGTTTCGAGTTTTTCGTCACTTTCCGATGAGGTTTTTGGGTCGGAGGAGGTTGAGTCGCCGATGTCTATACGGTCCTACAATTCTCCCAAGTTGTCTACGAAGAAGGTACGTTTTCTTTTTCTTTTTTATTTTTCAAAATATGACATCACAATAAAACTTATATAAAAAAAAAAAAAAATCTCAATCGAGGAAAGGAAAATTCTAATAAACACAGAAGAATAATAGTCATATACAAGTAGAGAGTTTGAATTATTGATCTTTTAGTAAGGTGTAAGGTTTAAACTAAATATATTTTCTTAATTTGTTTTTTTGAAATATTATGGTTATGAAAACTTGTCTTAAATCTTATCTATAAAATTAGTGTTTGGTATAGATTTAAAGTTAATAGAATGCTAGACAAATTCACAATAAATGTAGACTACTAATTTTATTTATTTTAAAATAATATGAGTAATTTTTTTTAGTATGTAATATTACTAATTTAAAAATAGTCTTACATTGGAAGATGGTGATTTTTGCAATTTTTTTTTTTGTAATCTTTATTTAATTTAATTTCTAATATATGAGATAAGGTTTTCGATTTATCAATGATGTTTTAGAGATAGGGCGGTCTAGGGAATTATTTGCTATTGATTTTCCAAGACCTCTCAAGTG